AAAAATCATGGTGGGTGTGGAGCAGGGATAGGAAGAGGCAGGAAGAGGGGGCACCTCGGGAAAAGCAGGGGTTTGAAAACCCAGGGGCCAGTGCCTATAAATATATTTATATCCTTTATGTATGGTTAAATGTCATTGTGGATCCTATATTTTTTGGTAAATCCATCAGCTTAAACAGGATCGCTTTGCTTATGATCAATAAAAATCATGGTGGGTGTGGAGCAGGGATAGGAAGAGGCAGGAAGAGGGGGCACCTCGGGAAAAGCAGGGGTTTGAAAACCCAGGGGCCAGTGCCTATAAATATATTTATATCCTTTATGTATGGTTAAATGTCATTGTGGATCCTATATTTTTTGGTAAATCCATCAGCTTAAACAGGATCGCTTTGCTTATGATCAATAAAGAAATCCCACCAACTTTGAAATACTAAGTTCTCCTTCAAAATTAAAGGAAGATACCAGTCTAGACCCTGGCCTAAAGAAAGATGAAGGTGATAAACAAAACAGCTTAGTCCTTCAGGGAGCTATGTATCCTCAATTGTCACTGACATCACAAGGAGCTGAGGGTGTCTAGCACCTTGCAGAAGTTGCTCAGCACTCAGAGTCAATATGTATGACTGCATTCACATGCACAGCTGGAAACAAAGTTGTTCAGTAAGCTCTGCTACAAACACCAGCACCACCAGGCATACGTACCAACAAGGGCAAAATCCATTCAAACCAGTTAAAATTTCCCCAACTGCTACCAATCAGCACTTCTTTGTCCTGTTGAAATAACTGCATGGTAACTAAATACTTAAATAATACTTATTCATTAGACACAAAACATATTATTATTATTAAAAACTAATGCAGCCTCCTAAAGGGTCTCAGCAGTGGCTGATTCTTGCTTTACTCCTTTAATTCCTTCTGACTTCCCGTCCCTTTAAAGGTTGTGGTGGCCGGTAGTTTCTCAGCATACAGCAGGCTGCCTCCCCCTCAGCAGTACACAGAAGGCTGCGGAATTTGGCTAGCTGCAGATGAAAAGAGGTATAAAGTTCAGCAGAGAATTGCCATGCTAATACTAAATGAAGGATTCTAACGAATAAACATGAACACACTTGTCACTTTTATTTCACCAAGACGTATGGGGATCATATTTTCTAGAGCACATGTAGAATGGCAATTTTGTCAGATTAGCCCTTATTCCTGTTAGCTACTATTTTTCATTTACACTTTGTGAGTGTTATTTCGGGCATTATCTGAATATAACATGGTATTCGCTCTATTTTGAGATCCAAAGGCCAACATAATTCCCACTGATTTATTTGTTCTTAAGGATTGCCTGGGAATCAACATGAATAGGCAAATAAAATCTTGTTATATGCCCTCATGGTGCAAGAAATATCACAATCAGTGAAGAATGATGGATGCTGTACTTAAAAACACTGCTCCGGTTACCATTTTTATGTTATTCACCCTAGCACACGATAAAAAGCAAATAATAATACTAGACATGTGCCCAAACTGATATCTGATTCAAATTTTCTCTCACAGAAATTCAGGATTAGGAATTTTTTAAATCTCAGTCCAAACTTCACAACGTGGATTTATTTCCACAATAAAGCAAACTGGAATGCCCAGCGCAAATTACTATCTGTCTTTGATTCCAGATTTGAACCTTTGTAATCTGTCCTTCTGTGGATAGTTATTAGTACTAGCTTGCTTCAGATTTATTTTCCTTATGTAGATAACATTAGTAGGGCAGCACAAAAGTCATTATTCTTCTATTGGCTATGTGGTATGTTATGGCAGGATCACTGTTTGAGGGAAAACAAACATCCCTCAGAAAACAGGCATTAAAAATAAAGTGGGTATTAAGAAAGTTATCTGGGATAGGCAACAGAGGGAAGAAAAAAATCACTGATGACTAGATTCTGTCACCCTTCTTCACATATCAAATAGAACCTTCCTCCTCAGTACTCCCACTGATTTCAATAACCATAGGTCACTGTCCTTTGCTTTAGGCTGTATCTCAGAAGTACAATTTAGCCCTAAGACTATAGAGTGCCCATAGGGCATTGGGTCTGGCCAGGAGTGTTCCATTTGGGGGGTATTACTAAGCTTCAGAGACTATGCCAGCACAGTCATGTTATCAAAGCTATGTTGGCATAATCACTTAGCACAGATGTAGCCTACACCAAAAGGAAGAGATTTTCCCAGTGCTATAGGAAAACCTCCCCTCCAGCAATGGAAATATTCTTCTGTCAGCATAGATATGTCTACACTAGGGGAGGAAGGCCAGGAGAGAAGTTTTTTTTCCCATATCCCTGATCACCATAGCTATGCCCACCTAACTTTTAAGTGTGAACCAGGCCTTCATGTCTCATCTCAGGCTTGTGAGCTCCACACTCCCAAGTAGGCAAGGGTATGTCTACACTACCCCGCTAGTTCGAACTAGCGGGGCAGTGTAGACATACCCTTGCCTACTTGGGAGTGTGGAGCTCACAAGCCTGAGATGAGACATGAAGGCCTGGTTCACACTTAAAAGTTAGGTGGGCATAGCTATGGTGATCAGGGATATGGGAAAAAAAACTTCTCTCCTGGCCTTCCTCCCCTAGTGTAGACATATCTATGCTGACAGAAGAATATTTCCATTGCTGGAGGGGAGGTTTTCCTATAGCACTGGGAAAATCTCTTCCTTTTGGTGTAGGCTACATCTGTGCTAAGTGATTATGCCAACATAGCTTTGATAACATGACTGTGCTGGCATAGTCTCTGAAGCTTAGTAATACCCCCCAAATGGAACACTCCTGGCCAGACCCAATGCCCTATGGGCACTCTATAGTCTTAGGGCTAAATTGTACTTCTGAGATACAGCCTAAAGCAAAGGATACAGTCTGGATTCTAAGCACAGAGAGCCACCTGCAGATGCATCCTCCTCATGGAGCTCTCTAGAATTAAGCTGCCTGTCTGTGACCCTAGAAATATGACTAGAACAACAGCACTAGGAGGGGATACAGAATGAGAGTCACTGTACCCACACCTCTAGGTCACAGACTGGACACAGACCAATCTCTAAGTTGGGGTGGAGAGAAGTTCCAGGTACAGGTGAAAATCAGAGAGGGTTGGAAGGGGTTATACTGGAGAAATTGAAAGTGGGGGAGGAGACAGATGGGTAACTTAAGAGGGGAAGGGAAGGGGAAATGGAGGAACTCCAGAGGGAAGTTAGCCCAGGAGGATGGGGTAGGGATGGAAAGGCAAGGAAAAACTTGAGCCAAAGTAGATGAAAATGATTGATTGACAGTGGCAGGGAAGGGAAATGTATATAAACAGTGTGGAGATATTTATGCATTACTTATGTAAATCAGTATAATTTACATAATACATCCAGATTTCCAAACTCACATCTTTTATCATATCTGTCAGTGTCTCAGTCCACAGAATAAAAACAGAAACTACTTGACTCATACTTGTAAATCATTGGCTAGACACATCACTGACAAAACCCACAGGTAAGGATCCGCAATGTTATGTTAATTGAAGTGTTTAAGTAACTAATAACATAGCACACTCAATTAAGAAAACATATCTTGGAATAAATACATTTTCATTAAGTAATTAGTTAACAAAAAAGTAAAAAAAACCAACAACAACAAAACTCTTCCTTTGAAATTAATATTAAAAAGTAAGCATTTTTTCCCCATAATGTTGTTTCTGGTATTTCACTGGAAGCGTGAAACTGACAATTGTTTCTTTATTTTAAAAATATTTCCCAACTGGAAAAGGATAACATCAATAGAAGAAGAAATTGTATTTTAAGCTTCTAAGCAAAAAATATAAAAATGAAGGGTTAACAAGAAAATTGAAAAGTAGTACCAGTCAGGGGATGAACTGTGACTTCCCTTATGTTTCTATAGCACAGGGCATGCTTTGGGCACTACTGGAAACAAACAATAGGTAATAATGATTTTTGTATTTAAATACAGAACATTAAAATATTACACATTGAATAAGAGAGATAGAATTTGAAATAATGCATAGTAAGAAATGAAGTAATTTGGTGCATCACAGACTGATGCTTCATTCCCTAAAAATGATATATACATTCCTTGTTCCATGCAACATTTTACTTTTAAAATGTCTTAGCTAGAAGATTCAGTCAAATTGAAATTCTGGATCTCGGAAGTTCAGATCTGCTTTTGAACTTGAACAGATATAATAATCATCATACTGAATATTTATATAGTGTCTCTTCATTTTAAAGAGCTTTACAAAGTCCAATATGCATTATGCCTATTTTACACATGGGGGAGGTGAAACACTGATTGGGTAAGTGACTTGCTCATAATCAGTTGTTCCCAGAGCTCAACATCTCTTGATTCCCTCACAGGAGTCTTATGCACTGAAACAATGGTTTGCATTTTGATCAGAGATTCAGGCCAGTTCTTATTTCTTCTGAACTGGTTCTTTCATTTCTAGTAAAATGCTACTTCAAGAAAATGTTACACATGAAGGGTTACTTTTCAAATGTCCTTTAGACTTCCCAGCTCTTCTTTTAAGTACTTGAACTCTCCTGAGAGACAATGCTTCTAGGTTGAGATCCTGTCCCACTGAAGTCAATGGGAGTTTTCCTTCTGACTTCAGTGGGTCCAGGATTACAATTCTAGAATCACCAGCAAAGAGATTCCAACCAAACTACACCATTTAAAACTCAGCTGCCAGTCATAGAGGGTCACACATTCTATCCATCTTAATCACACTAAGAAGTAAAACAGTCTTATTCTCCTTTATATGACTGCTGGGGGGTTAGTCTGAGCTACAGTCTGGCTCAGTGAGGCTATTCGTTGGCAAGGCTGGTCATGAGAGTAAGGGTGGCATTATCTGGCCAAGAACAATTAATTTTCCTTAGTTATCTATAACACAGCACAGGTAAATATTGAGATGTGATAAGCCACAGGGTTTTAATGTGGCAACTGGAGTAATGATACCAACAGCAGCACGGGTTACCAATTTCTCGTAGTAGAAACTGGAAAATCACATTCCCTTTAGCAATTGCACTACGTAAGAGTATTAAACTCAGTAACCATTGGGTGTCACTGTTGGTCTACAAATATACAGCCAGAAGGTCAATTTTACAACTGTAAGCAATAGGAGAAATATAAAGGGTTGTTTCAAGTGATGTGCTCATCTTTCTCCTACATTCATTTAGCCTGACTGTTAGGAAACACGCTATTAGCTGTAACTACAGTATTTCGATTCACAAATGTTATACTCTTGTAATCTAGGAAAGGATCTGTATTTATTTGCCCATTTACTGACATGGTATTCTATAATGAATGAGTTAAATACAAAAAAAGAATAGTGATGATTTGGAGATGGTAAAAACTATGGAATGAAATGCAAGTGCTTCCTCTTCTCATCAGACCCCTCATATGAAATTAACTGTCAGCTTCTTTAATGCATCTTTCCTAATTTGTTGCTCCCAAAGCATTTTTAAGCTTTCAAAACATTTTATCAATAATAGTAATAATAATAATACTTGATCATTCTGATTCCTAAGGAAATCAACAAAAATTCATAGTAATTTCAAATTTCTCTAGAAACTCAAGACAACAATGTAAAGCAAAAAGTTTGGTAGAGTAAGAAATGTCACAATTAATTAAATATATAACGCTATAAATAAAACATCCTTCAAAGTATCATTTTGAACCATAGTTTAGTTCTTAAAACATTATATGTGAAGGGTTGGGGAGATCAAAGTGTACCTGCTCAGAGGAAACACTTATAGGCTCTCTGACAATTATCCAGATGACACTTTCAAGAAGAGGTGGAACAGTAAGAGAGCCAAGGTAAGTCCAGTAGTCCAGAGAGTGAGGAAGCAAACAGGAAGGGTCAAAATTTGTGAACAGTGCTTGTTTACCCTGGAAAAAGAAGCATGCACATTCTAACCCAGTACCACCACATTTAGTAACCACTTATTATGCAGTCTTGTTAATTTCTTTATGGTGTCATAAAATTTTGTTTCTTTAAAAGTGTCAAGCAGCATCTTCCCCACTAATCTTACCAAATTAGAATTATGGGGTAAATATTAAGATACTGTTCCATTTGTGGGGGCAAGGTTTGCATGGCTCTGGAGGATCAAGGGAATATATCTACACAGTTCATGGCAGTGAGCTTCTCATCAAAGGTTGGCTCTGGCCAACCCTCCTCCAAAGATATCAGAACCTGAGCTGCTACACCTACACAGTTCTATTTACCATAGTAGCATGAGCCCAAGTCTGTTGACCTCGGATGCAATATTCCCTCTATTTTGTCCCTCCATGTGTGGAATAAATGGTATGTGCACCAAGGTACGTGCAAATGTGCACCACCAGTAGAAACACATGCTGTCAGCTGTGGGTGCTCTGCTAATCAGCTGGGAGGCACTTGCATCTCTCCAGGGTGCCCACCTGCGTGCACAGCTTACAGGGAACACTGGGTGTCACATAAATATAATATATTCGGATGTATCCACCTTTGCTTGCAATGTTGGAAGAGCTGGTGGGATAGCAAGCTGTGTTTTCTTCATCTGACATCAGCTCACTCACTCTTCCCTGGCCCATCTATGCTCTCCCTCACCATGTAGATTTCTGGACCATGAGAGAGACTCCTCACAGAGATAACTACCCCCCTCAGATTAAGAAGGGCCGATTAGTGTATGCGAGGCCACTCCATATCATGATCAAAAGGGACATGAGCCTCTTCTTCCCCCATAAAACAAAACTCTCCATATTCTTAAAAAATTCCACAAAATGCGCAATTATCCAGCAGTAATGATCTTGGTGCAAATAGGATTTGTCAGGAATTAAATTGTTACAGCTAATTAATGATCTTCTCCCCTCCTCCCACATTGTACAACAAAACAATTATAATGTGCTGGCTTGTTTCTGATTTTATCCAACAAAAGTGCCACTAAATTGCCCCCAAATAGGGTGAGCCCTTCTTTACCAGCTATAAGGTCTGAAAGAATGTGACTGTCAAGCATGGAAGAAAAAGAACAGCAGCACAAGTAGTGGAGAGTTTTAGGAGAGTTACTTTACCTTGGCTCTAATGGCATCCAAACGGTCAGTAATTTTCTTCAGCTGAGAGTTACATTCACCAATCTGTAAAGGCAAGAAGACAAAAATCATACTTTCAAGGGAAGAATCGTAATTCACTTTTTTCTTTACTAATGTTTATTTTCAAGTTTTTCACATAGGGTCTGATCCTGCACCCCCAGGAAGTTAATGGTAAAATTCTGATAAACCTCAATGGATACAGTCAGGCCATTATTAATTCAAACAACCTGACACAAACACTGATTATTCAACAAGAGGGATGTCATTGACTTTGCTGACACTATCTTTTTGTTAGCTGTTTCAGTCTTGAAAGTTAATTTTATTTTTACTTCACTTTTTTGCACCAGTAGAATAAAAGTTATTTTTCTGACCAATGTTTTATAGAGGAACATAAGAACATCAGGCTATATACATATGAATAAATTAGTCACAACCCTTTTTAATCTTAAGTTCCATTAAGCACACTGGAAAATTCACGAATTCATTAATCAACACCCTTTTTAAGCTTAAGTTCCTTAAAGCACACTGGAAAATTCATGAGCATGACATTTCTGTATAACTTGGGCAGAATCATGGTTTCTTAACACACAGGAGATGTTCATTGGGTCAGGAGCACGTACACTGGGAAGGTGACAACATGTATAAAGAGTAGGATAGGTTCAACATGAATAAGCGGCATAACATATCAAAGATCTCTGCTGACACTGCTCTCTGCAGCATGACAGCTAGAATATAGTCACAGAGGTGAAATTCACCAGTCACCACAGCGACAGAAGACTCCAGGTGAAGCAGAACCATTGTAGTTACAATGTGGGAGGAAAGTGGGGAAAAGGCAGCAGGCCTCCAGGCTCCTGATACCAAGCAAAGCTTAGTTTGAATTTGCTTTGCAAAAACAGGGTGTGTGCCTTTTGCTTAGCTTAAGGTCCTGCAATTATATGCATGCAAAGGTCACAAAATTCTTGAACAGCAGGTCATAAGCACTTCTCCAGACCAGAGCTTTAGTATTTTTTAAGTGGCCATCACCGTATCAACTTGACATTGAAGTAGGGGCCACAATGCTGCCAAGCATCCTGTCCTCTAATCACAGGTTAGGGTTTTGTGTTCTCTATGAGGTTCCTCGCACAGAGTCAGTAAGGCTCGGAGATGGGGTGATTTAATTTATACTGAAATGAGCAGCTTATCAAGTGTAAGAGGCACAATTTTGCTCAGAGATTTTAAGGAAATCCTTTAATGTTTGTTTTCCTCTTTAGACAGAAAAGATGCAATTCACCATTGGCACAAACAGCTAAGGGAAGTGGTGAGTTCTCCATCTCTTGATGTCTTCAAATCAAGACTAGTGATTTCTGGAAGATATTCCTTGGAAAAACACAAGGGCTGAGTCTACATTGGCACCACTTTCCGTAAAAGGGATGCTAATGAAACCAGTAGGAATTGCAAATGCCGCGGGGGATTTAAATATCCCCCACGGCATTTGCATGAACATGGCTGCCGCTTTTTTCTGGCTTGGGGTTTTGCCGGAGAAAAGCACCAGGCTAGACAGGATCTTGCGGAAAATAAGCCCTTTTCCAGAAGATCCCTTATTCCTACTTTCAAGTAGGAATACTTTCAAGTAGGAATAAGGGATCTTCCAGAAAAGGGCTTATTTTCCGCAAGATCCCGTCCGGCAAAACCCCGAGCCGGAAAAAAGCGGCAGCCATGTTCATGCAAATGCCACAGGGGATATTTAAATCCCCCGCGGAATTTGCAATTCTGAAGTGTCTCATTAGCATCCCTTTTCCGGAAAGGGGTGCCAATGTAGACACAGCCAAGTTCTTGGATCATACAGAAGTGCTTGGGTGAAATTTAATGGCCTATCATTATAGAGAAAGTCAAACTAGATGATCTAATGATCCCTGCTGGTCTTAAACTCTATGGCTTAAACTCTGTTTTTGTGCAAAACCCCCCTCTTGCGCAAGAGCCGTTCTTCCTGAAAAAAAGAGGAAGAACGGCTCTTGTGCAAGAGGAGGTTTTTGCGCAAAAAGGAGCTGTGTAGACAGCTCCTTTTTGCGCAAAAGCCTCTTGCACAAAAATGGAGCCTCATTAATTATGCAAATGACGCATGACAATAGTCCATGCTTCGCCTCATTTGCATTTTTTTTGTGCAAGAGGGGGCAGTGTAGACATAGCCTATGACTTTGGTGTCTTCCAGGTAGTGCCGCAATCTATTATTACAAACACATTAAAAAATAGACATGTGGGTTTTGCCTTCTTATTTTTGCTGCTGCAGAATTATGGGTAAAGAGATTTTTGTTGCAGAATAACAGTTTTGTTGTTTAAGCTTACAACAGAGATTTGTTAAAAGGGACAAAGCAATCTTTGCTTACCCTTAGAAACACCGCCATGACAGCTAGTCCATCCCGCTGCCGAGCAGCCTCAACAAAACTGGAATATTTGTCCGAGTTCCAATGAACCACATGAAGCTAAAAGGCAAAAGCACAAGTACTGTCAATTCCCACTGTACTGGTGCAGTTACAATTAACATCCAATTGTACTAGTGCTGAGGTTTCTACTTCACCTGTTCATATTCAGACGCATTCAATTTTCCAGCTGCAAATATTTATGTTTATTGAAATCTGGAAATATATAATCATACAAAGGGCAACAACAAACACTGATATGGCTGAGATTTGAAAAAGTATGAGAACGGCAAAATTAACGGGGTTTTTTACATTGCAAATACAGCAGTTACTTTTAAAAATCAAAATTTAGCAACACTTTGGGTTGAAATACTGTGGGTACTCACTGTTCAAAATTGGGAAACACGGCAATTTCATAGGCCAAAACTTTCAAACATCAAAGGCTAAAGTTAGGCTCTTAAATCCACAAATAGTAAAGCTGGTAAAAAAATAAGTGGTGGAATAAAACCATACAAATTTCATTAACATTTTCTTTTCCCCTGCCCTCATTTTCTCAGTCATAATTTCAGCAAAATATGGATCAGTTGTCCAGCTGGTCATGAAATGAGAAGGGATATGGGGAAATGATTTTTTCACAATCTCTCTTTTTTCTCAAAATTTTTATGATTTTTTTTTACCAGCTTTTGTATTTAGCATCAAGTGGCCTGATCTTCAAAGGTGCTGAGCACCTGCAATTCCAATTGATTTCTGACTGGGACTATTTTGTGATAGATTTGTAATGAGCAATTCAACAACACAACACTTGCTTAATGTGTAATTGCTTGGAAGGTCCACGAAGACTAGACCAAAGGTTGGAAGATACACTCTGACCAGTCCTAGGACTGCCATGATATGGCTAAGTAGAAAAAACAAAGCGATTTCTGACCCAGTGCCTCCCAGCCTCTCCCACCAAGCCATGCTCCCTTCAGTCATGCCCATACTCCCCTGTCAGTTCTCAAGTCTCTATTTAAGGAACTAAGTCAGAGTCAGAGGTCTCTTCTCTTGTGCAGAGTACTGCTGTTCTCTGCACTGCCATGCTGTTGAGTGCACATACAGTAATTGTTAAAGAGCATTTATTAGTATTGTACAAACTTTATCTAATTCATCTCATAAGACTTATTTTCACCCAGAGTCTATCTTCCCTATTTTTCAAAGACGGAAATTCAGCGTAGTTGAAGATCAACTTTTTTAAAGGAGGCTTTTAATTTTGGCCTTGTCTTAAGCATTTCAGACACTGATTTTCAGAGATGATGAGAATCTCTTGCTCCCAGTGACTTCACTTGGATTCACGCCTGTTGAGCACTTTTGAAAGTAAGGCTCTAGGTAGACACACAGAAACTGGGAATTCCAAAAGTAAAGGCCTCCTTAGAAATTGTGAGTCTTAATAGCTTGCCTGAATAAACTGCACAGAAGGCTGTGGGGTCTTCTGGATAAAACAGGAGTCTGGAAGATCTTGGTTCTAGATCCTGCCTCAGACATGGACTTGGTTTTTCGCACGTTGCTTAATCTCTATGGCCTTATGGTCTCCCTATTTGTAAAATGGGTATAATAATACTTGGTGTTGTGAGGCATAATTAATGTTTGCCAAGCTCTTAAGCCTCAAACCAGCAAAGTAAATAAGCATGGGTATGTCTACACTACCCCGCTAGTTCGAACTAAAAGGGTAATGTAGGCATACCGCACTTGCAAATGAAGCCCGGGATTTGAATTTCCCAGGCTTCATTTGCATAAGCGGGGCGCCGCCATTTTTAAAACCCCGCTCGTTTGAACCCCGTGCAACGCAGCTACACGGGGCACGAACTAGGTAGTTCGAACTAGGCTTCCTAGTTCGAACTACCGTTACTCCTCATTCCACGAGGGGTTTTAATCCCAAGTCCTAGTTCGAACTACCTAGTTCGTGCCCCGTGTAGCCGCGCTGCACGAGGTTCGAACGAGCGGGGTTTTAAAAATGGCGGCGCCCCGCTTATGCAAATGAAGCCCGGGAAATTCAAATCCCGGGCTTCATTTGCAAGTGCGGTATGCCTACATTACCCTCCTAGTTCGAACTAGGAGGGTAGTGTAGACATACCCCATGTGTTTAACTTAAGCATGTGAAAAGTCCCATTAAAGTAAATGGAAATACCCCCATGCTTACAATTAAACACATGCTTAAGTGTGTTTCTGGATTGTGGCCTTATGACTTGTCTACATGGGGAAATAGCACAGTATAGCTACTACAGAATAGCTCCTGTGTGGACAATCTTATTCCACATGGAGAGTAAGAGTGCCCAGTTGGGGAGTTAGTACAGAATAGCTATTATGCTTTAAATTCATACTCCAGCTTATTTAGCAATAGTTTCCCTGCATAGACAAGCTCTTAGGAAAGCTGCCGCAGAAGTCCAAAGTATTATTATTAAGACCAGAAATAGAATATAGGAATTCATACCTCACTTCTCAGTCCAACAGACCATTCTGTGTGCACATGAATGCATATTAGTATTCTGGAGCTTACAATGTCTGCATCAGACCATTCACGATTTTAGATTCACAAAAGCTAGATTGAATAACTTTTAAAACGTTATATTTTGCATACACAAAGAGGAAACAGATACTTTCAGTCGAAATGACTTTTATTGTGAATTAAAAAACAACAAACAAGAAAAGACAAAGTAAAATCCCCACAGATAAAATAACCGCACTACTCCCTATGATTTTGCAAAAACAAACAAAACAAAAAAACAAAACAAAAAACAAAACAGAAACAAACAAGAGTTGTGAGACATTTTGGGGTACAGCCCCATTCTCAATGGCTTGTGACTTCTCTTTTAAGGGATGTATCCCATCTTACCACCGCTCCTGCACTGCAGCTTGCTGGAGAGAACTTGGTTTGGTCAATGCGATGTCACAACACAACTGGATGGTGGTGCCCTCCTGTTTCCAGATGTCCTCTGACTTGGGGCAAGCCATGTCGTCTTCTTTGCTTGTGAATGCTCTTTCTTCGAGCATATGCCAATTTGGCAGAGGTGCTTTCTTGATTTGTTAGAGCATTTCTTCAGGGAGTTCATGACTTGAAACTGCATTCTCATCTCCTTCCGGCGTATTTCTTCTGCATGAATAGTGCTCAGCAGCCTCACTCTTTAATTCTGGGTTCCTTATCCCAAAACCAAAACGATGTATAAAGCGCTTCTTGCAGAAGGTTATCAAAATGACAAGTAGGGGGAAGCTTTTTTAGACTGGCTAGAAATTCAGAGATATTTTCTCCTTCCATTTGGTTTCTGAGAGGGAACTTATTTTTTTTTTCAGCTAGCAATTTGGTTTTGGTACATAATGTTTTTAAGCACCTCTATTAATTCTTTATACTCCATCTCACCTGGTTCCTGTGGAAAACATAAGCCTTTAAACACTGCAAATGTCACTTTCCCCACCAGTGGTAGAAAATTTGATTTTTTTCTTACCACTGTCTTCTATAGCATTTCCAATAAAATACCAACCAGAACTTTCTCTATATATGTCAGATTCTTCCTCTTTTGCATCATAGTAAAAATCTTCCATATTTCGGTAAAATTTAATTTTTATATTTTCTATTTTTTTTACCCAGGAAAACTCTCACTTCTCTGAATTATTGGTTGTTTGAGATCCCATTTTCCTCACTAAAATACTTGTTTTGTTTTTCCCATATGCAAAGAGGAAACCAATACTTTCAGTCTGAATTATTTTTATTGTAGATTAATCAAAAGCAAGGAACAAGAAAGCAAAAAAAAAAAAAAAAGACTCCTCAAGAGAGCACACACTGCATTTCTCCTCTGTGACACTCTGCACTGAATGGAACACACATAATGACTGCCTGTCTTTGCAGGCAGCATAGGCCTTAGAGATTTAAAGGTGCAGTACACAGAAAACAAAGGCATAACTATCGCATTGCTAAATACACCACAAAGAAAACCCACCCAACTCTTCTGCAAATGGTAGAATCCACAGGTCCTAAGTAAAGGTGATTAACAAAACAACTTTGTAGCTTCTAGGCCAGGCTTATTTTGAGATATAACAATCCCCAAGGAAAAGTTAAAAAATAAAAATAAATGATTAAAACAATTCTCAAAAATTGAAGTCCTCTAAATGTTCCACTTATAATAGCTTCTCATCTTATCTTTTACCAAGGTCTCCAAATACATTCTCCTTTGGCATAGGATCACACAAGATTTCAGGCACGCTGCTCATGTTTTGAAAAAGTTAGGGGTCCAAAATCTGTCTTATACTGGAACATTAGTTATGGCCTTAACTACAGAGAGACTATGGCCTCCATATAATTCATTGCAATGCCTTACCTCTGCTGCATATTTCTTTCCATCCACTGCGTGCTCAGAGCCAACATCATCACTTGCCCCCCAATGAAAGTGAATTTGGCGCAGCCTATAGCGTCCAGTGAGTGGTCCCCCTCTCAGCACTATAAATCAGATAAGAAGAGATTTTTCACCAAGGGAACGAGCATTATAATAAAATCTTATGCTCTAAACTTTCATATACAGAGTACTATTCTAGGGTCCACACTTCTCTGTTTGGATTCTGATGTAGAAATCATGAGGGTGTATTACCTCTATATTTGGCACGGATACGACTACTACTGGAATACTGTGTCCACACTTCAGGAAGGATGTTGACAAAGTGAAGAGGGTTCAGAAAAGAGCCTACAAGAATGACTAAAGCAGGGGTTCTCAACCAGAGATTCAAGGCTTCCTGGAGGGCTGCAAGCAGGTTTTGGAGGGGGCTGCCCAACATGTCTGGCATTATATATTCTCTGGCTCTGGGCAGAAAGCCAAAACCCCACCACATGAGGCTGAACCTTGGGACTCAATCCTTGCCTCCTGGAACTGAAGCCAAAGCCTTAGCAACTTAGCTTTGTGAGGTGCCCAGGCATGGGGCCATGCACAATTTTCCTCCTTGCTATCCCCTAACACTGGCCCTGGGAGGGGGTGAGATGCTGGGGGGATGCAGAGAGAAGGGTGGGGTGTGGTACATACTTGGGGCATCCCCCTCTGGCAGCAATTCCTAGGCAAGGCGGGAAGAGGTCTCCATGTACTGCTTCCCAGAGGCACTTACCCTGCAGCTTTCCATTGGTATCAGAGGTTCTCAGGGTAGAAGCAGCATAAGGACACACACACGCATATCCAGGGCTGTAGGACATACAGGCAGTCCCCGGGTTACGTATAAGATAGGGACTGTAGGTTTGTTCTTAAGTTGAATCTGTATGTAAGTCGGAACTGGCGTCCAGATTCAGCCGCTGCTGAAACTGATCAGTTTCAACAGTGGCTGAAT